TCTTCATAGTGAGTTTAAACTATCAGCTCATTGTGGCTTTGATTTGCACTTTCCTGATGGATAATGATATCAAGTATCCTCCTGTGTGCTTAATATAGATCATCTTTGGAGAAATAGCTACAAGATCTTTAAGTCATTTTAACAATTGGGTGTATTTTTATTATTGTTTTGTTATTTATATGTTTTAGATATAAGCCTCTTACTATATACATGACCTGTATATATTTCCTCCAATTCTGTTTGATCTTTTTCATTTTCTTGAAAGTGAAATTTTAAGCACTTTCAATTTTAATTTTGAATAAATCAAATACACCTATTTTTTCTTTTGTCATTCGTGGGTTTTTGTGTGTGTGTGGTGGTGGGGGGTGGGTGTATCATATCTAAGAAGACTCTGCATAACCAAGTTTACTGTATTTCCTACTGAGTTTTATAATTTGGTCCCTACATCTAGGTCTACGATTTATTTTGAGTTATTTTTTTTTTTTATGTATAGTGTATAGAGCAGAGCAAACTTTAATCTCTTTGGATGGATATCCAGTTGTCCCAGTACCATTTATTAAAAATATTATTCTGGGGCCCTCCCTGGTGGCGCAGCGGGTTAAAGCACAGCACTAAGAAGCTTAAGCCACTTCTGCATTAGTTCGATTCCCCGTCTGCCCCTGAGGAGATCCACATGGTGCGGCAGACCTCTCCTGACCCGCCTGATGCTCCCCTCAGCAGTGAACTTCATCAGTCGGCCTGTTCTGCTCCCCACTCTGTCTCTGGTGAATCCTCTCACTGTCCCTGCACCTCTGGCCTGTACCCTAGCTCTGTATGCCTGAGTAATAAATCTTAAAAATATATATATTATTTTTTCCCATTGAGGTGTGTGTATGTGTATGTTTGAGTAGTTTTGTATAAACTGTATAAGAAATTTGTTTTTTAAACTATAAAAATCTAAAATAGATATGTTAGTGTCTTTGCCTATTCTTTTGAGAGTCAAACAGTTGTAGAACGATAAACTTACATAATTTATTAGATCTCTTTCCTGTAGAGTCTTGAATGACTTGGGAAAACAGATATATTACTTTAGTTGAAGGTTATCTAAATAAAATCTCTAAAAATTAATAAGATTGTGCTTTTCACCATTGATTTATCATACAGATGTATGTTCATGAAAGCCTGAAAAGAGATTCTGTATATTCCTTTATGACAATATGGCTTAATGAGATTTACATACATAACTCATTTCTACATAAAAGGATAGGATTCATGTAAAATACAGTTTCAATTGTTTAGACATACTAAATTGACACATAAGCAAAATTGACAGGTTTTTCTTAGTTTCACTGGGATCTCTTGGATTGGGGGACACTCTAACTGTATTAAACATTTTCTTGTTTGAGGAAGAATGTATCATCTGCATTTGGATTTCACTGAAGTATTGGCTTTCTCATGCACAGTTTGAGCTGATAGTGTGAGATCATTTTTACTTATCTATTTTTTAAGATCCAGTTTTCAGGGTTCATTTTAGTGTAGGGATTGAGTGCCCTAATTTTGCCAGTAAAGGTTGGGGTGGATTTTATAGTCCACAAGTAACTGGGTATGAAAGAATTGAAGAGTAAAACTCTGGGCTTCAATAGCTAGTAATGACAGTAGCCAAAATAGATGCAGTTCTGTATTCGAGAGAAGACCTTACTCCTTAAAACTTATCCAGGCCCAAATTTATAGAGTTTTATTTCTGCCATAAAGCCAGTTTACTTTTACAGCCCACCACCAGAGTTGATAAAGATAGGAATAGTTGTAACTACAGTATGCTTAATGAAGATACAGTACATAAAATGTAAACTTTGTTGATTCTCTAATTGGCATAAAAGCCTAGACACAAGAAAGTGGCCTTTATAACACAGTGTAACAAAACACCAGTAATCACCACAAATAAAATTTTAGATAACAAGATTCAGATCTTCATCTGGCAATTTCCTTTAACTGTACCACTAGGTATTTCCTCTGAGCTTCTAAAGCTGGACTGTCCAATACCATAACCATTATTAGTTCAAATAAAGATGTGCTACAAGTATAAAAACCATACTGAAATGTTTTAAATATGGATAAAAGAATGTAAAATACATAATACATAATTTTTATATCATGTAGGCATTGAAATCCTGTTTTTGGTATATTTGATTATTGCAAATAACCTAATAAATTAGATTAATATATTAACAGCAATGTTATCTGTTTCTTTGCATTTTTTTGTATTTTTAAAAATATGACAAACAGAAATATTAAATATCTATCAATGCTGACATTTGCAGCATGCTCTATATTTTTATTCGACTATACTTCCCTAGATGTTATAGGAATGTAACAGTCAAACTACACTGGCCTTCCATCTGTACATATTTTTTCTCAGTTGTAATAGGTCTTACTCATTAGCTCATAGTGTATAATGTGGGTTCAATACTTCTCAATGTATATTTTTGTTTTCTTCACACCTCTTTACTATTAAGCAGTCTTCCTTTCTGAGAACACTTTTCCCACTCTGCCTACTTGGCAAATTCTTGTAACCCTTTAATAGCCAGTAGAAGCATTTTCTCACACTCATATTCAAAGTAGAAATACTTTATCCTCTGAACTATAATAATATCTACTGATGTCTACTGTTGGCTGAGCCCAGGGCTAGGTGATAATAGTATCCAAAAGTGAAGGAAGGGGATATAAACCCTATGCTTGAAATACTTGTATTTAGAGTTGGATACAGACAAGTAATCACTCAGTCATAAAATGGGGTGAAATATCTGTAACAGAAGAAATTCAGAGTATACCATAAGCATAATCTTCCTTACTACATCTTTGTGCTAAATAAATATATAGAAACTGAACTGTAAGTATCTGATTCCCTAGGAAACCTGGTTTTGTAACAATAGTTTTGTGTTTAGGTACATAAACCGATAGGCATCTTCTTCACATCACAATTGATCAAAACAAGAGTTGTCTTCAAAATACAAGTTACCAAACTGGCATTCATATATTACACCTATTTCTAGTATCCTTGTAATGACTCTTTTAGCCAGGAAATTTAAGTATTGATTTTTTTTTTTAAGAAACAAAGAAGAAAAACAAAAAATCCTGAGACAATTAGCATGCTTAAGTAAAAAATGAACTCCACAAAAGATGTGCCATTAACTTGACACTAATATACTATCAAAAAGAATTCAGAATTTCAACAACTGGATTTCTATGAAACTGAGAAGACAGAGGTGATCTACTTCAAGAAGTCATCTAGCATATGGCACTGGAGATTTTAATACTGTATCAAAGGGTGGGACCAATATTTGGCTTATTTGATTGTGTAACTTCCCTTATTTATTTATCTGCCAATCTCAGTGATCCAGAACCCAGTTATGATACACACACACACACACACACACAATGCTTTTCAAACTAACATTTGAGTAGTCTGAATGTCTGTTCCAAAGTCTATGCTCTAAGGTTCCTTATTCCATGGTGAATACATCAATCCCTTACATGGGGCCAATTTAGTTTTACTTCAGACTGAATTGTGACAGTGAGGTTATCTGGATTCCCAGCCTACCCAGAGGAAGACCTGCCAATCAGAGGAGGATAATATTAGAAGCAGGCACACGGGTGACAAAAAGGACAACAAATTATATTGTCAGCAGAGGAGACAGAAAAACTACAAAAGGCAGAGATAATCACTAAGTCCTAATATCCTGGAACCCTTCAGAGCAGCAATTGATAGTTTATATACCTCCTGGGGGCATCCCTAACACCTAGAAAGAAGCCCAGAACTGAATAGTGTGTTTGTTTAATCACTTACTACTGCCACTCTAATTACTTTTCATAAAACTATGAGTTTTCAAGAAAAAGCCAAATGAAGTGCAATAGTCTGCTTAAGAAAACAGAAACATTTTAAACATGTTTTAGAAAATCTTTGTATAACAATTTCTTGAACAAGTTTGATTCCTTAAAGGGTCAAGCTCAAATCATGTTGATCATCATTTAATTGGAACAGCTTATTTTCTATCAATCCCAGGCAGGACCGAACAGCGGACTTTCCTAAGTTGCTTTGAGCAGTTTCTAACTGTAGTATTTGCCAAGAAAAAGCTATCTATCGTGAGATTTAAACTAGATGAGATGACAATAGATTGTATAGCTGTATCACCAGAGTGATGTAAATTAATTGTCCTAAAACACATTATCACAATTAAACAAAGGACTCCCACTATGTGTGCTAGTTGCTGGCCACCTTAGGCATGAATTTGAAAATCTGCTCTCACTTTTAAATATTCCAAAATTCTCATTCATCTGTTTTAAAGGTTAAGTGGTTAAGTGAAATTCTAAATGCACAATAGAGCCATTACATAACAGATATAGCATACTGTTTTATGATTGGGATAGCTTTTGAAATTGCACTAGCAAGGCCATATTCAAATGCGATGGAATCCTCAGCATGAATAGGATTTGAAAACTTACATATACGAATATACATAGAATAGGCTATGAAAACCTACATATGAGAACAGAGTGCCCCATACACTCACATGTTTTGTGTAATAAGTGTTTTAACACAGGCATGCCATTTCTGAGTTTAGGGTGAGGTTAAGCTGCACTTTAGTGTTTTTGTATCAAGCAAAAACAATTTCAGCAACGGCTCTCATTTCCCCTGGTAATTTTTTTTCACGGTGAGTTACTAAATGCTAGATGCTGGAGTCAAAAAGAAACCTGACATCTGGGGAGGTGTTCAGGGGGTGTTAATAGTTCCAGTGAGCTCTGGGGATACGATTTTAAAACAGCAAATACTCGGAGAAGGGGGGAATTATGGTTTCGCAGGACTCTCTCCTCCCTCCACTTTCTTCACCAATCCATATCCCCCCCAATTTAGAGGCGGGTTCAGCGAGATCAGGCTGCAGAAAACCCGGAGGCTCCACCGTGCTGCCGCCCGCCCGGGCCTCGTGATGTAATTGTTATTTCTTATTTGGGGACTGAACCGCGGAGGGCTGCCGAAGAAGTGGCAACCCCGCTCCTTGTGCCTGGTCTGCTGGGGTCAAATTCTTCCCGGGGATGATGTGGATTCGCTGACAGACTCCGCTGGGGACTTCGCAGTGACCAAGCAGCTGCTCCCGAGTCCTACGTGCGTCGAAGGAGCTGAACAGGGCGCTCCTCAGGTCTCCTTCCCAGTTCTCTCTCGGAGTCAATCCACATTCATTCCAGGGTGCCTCCGGGGTGCTGGGCGTGGGATCAAAGTGACCTGGAGTTAGTCCCGTGCCCCCCAAGATTAAAGCAGGACACACAGATTACGAGGTGGTGCAAGTTGGGGGTAGGTGACAGGGACCCAGGGGACGCGTGTGGTGGGGTGGAAGGGGAGGCGGGAGACGCCGAAGGCGCTAGCACCCAGGGGGCCCTGGGGCGCGTCTAGGACGCCCGGCTGTGTCCCCCACGCGAGCCCTTTGGCCTGCGTCCCCAGCACGATCGCCCGGGCTCCAGCGAGGAGCTGTCCAGGCGCCTTCCGCGGCCGGGGGCGGCTGGACAGAGCCGGGAGGCGAGGGCACCGGCTCGGGAGCGTGGAGCACCCGCCGATCCCCGTGGACACGATGCTCCGGCTCCGGCCGCCCGCGCCCTGCCGCCGGGAGGGCTGGCGGGGTCTGGGGCGAGCGGCGAAGCTGACGGGGCCCCCGGCTCCCGCGAGCTGCCGGGACGCGAGCGGTTTCCTCTGGCCCCGCTGACAATGGGCGGGAGGGGAAAAAAGGGTTAAGAAACTTGGCTGAAGAGCTGAATGGCGTGGAGCGGCGAGGGGAGGGACTGGG